ATCAATAGAGGTACTTGTGTCATGGGTCATCCTTGTTGGTGTATTAATTAATTGTGAAAAGTTATAACTGTGCAAATGTGATGTGTATGTGAAAACGCCGCCAACGTTCATGATTTGGAAATAAAGTTATATTCAAGTCGCAATTATTTGTACACTTTGAGATGCTGACGCTTCGTTATTTACATTCAATGCACTTATTGAGCAATGCCATTTATTTAGCAATGAAATAGGAATACATGAATCTTCAATTATTATTCACGAATAACTAGATTACTTAAACATAGTGGTATTTATTTATAAATACTGTAAAACCATTTATTTTCAAAATTTTGATGTTGGAGCAATTTCACTGTGTTTTAATTTCACAAACTTGGCAGTCAAAACAATTAGTTCTATTGTTATTCTACGTTCTCACGTAGTATTATTTTTGCGAATTTTACTTATCAGCGAAAGTAGCGTAATTAAACACCAGTGAATAATTAATGCATTTGTCTGCATGATATGTAAATAACACACCTTTCTCATTATATACGACACAATTATGTATATAATTCCCATAAATATAAAGAAAATAATACGCTGATCCAATGATTTTGACTTTCCATAACAGGCTACTGGGAATGCTAAATGTCAAAGACAGGGTGCAATGGGGAGAGAACCTTGCAGCCTTATGATACACGGGGCCCAAAGAAAGTAAATATAGAGATAGACAATTTGCAATATGTTGCCATGAATACCACACTTCTCTTTTTTAATCAACAAGCTGCAAGGTGTTGATGGTAGTGTGTCAATGTTTAATGCACAGATCACAGTCAAAAAAGAAACTTTAAATACTATAGCATGCAAGTAATTATAGATTATGCAGAATAGTGCGGATATCTGAATTGCACAATGATACAATCATAGAGGTCATGAAGCCAGCGTGTTGTAAACATTGAATTAGACCTGAGTAGAAATTTGACTACCAAGAAATTCATACAAAAATGGCATCACCACAGCATTCATTCACATGACAGGAAATACCCAATTATATGAAAATGTTCATGGCAACGCAAGATCTAGACAAGGCTTGTTGAAGAAAAGAACACTGGATCTCTGTTTCATCATTAGAGCATATTATGTCTGTCGGTGCAATCAACACTACTAGTCCTAGCATATTCATTGTCCGAATTGCTGTATATCAGAAATAGTTCAAATCTTGACAATACAACAAGGGATGAAGAAGGAATAAAGGTATAAAAGTCAAGGACATTTATCTCTGTTATAATACCAGTGGCTCTGGTATAAATGCATTGAGCTTGGATGGAGGGATGTGTTTTTGTGTTGGACAACAGAGCAATATCGTAGATGTAGTCTAAGTCGTTTAATTTCTCCATAAAAATCCATCCGATCCCGTTTCTCCCAGCTGTTGTTGTCTTCTTCACAACCCAATCAATGACAAGTAGGAAGAGGAACCCCGACAGAATTGTTTCACTTCTGATTTTACCTCAAACCAGTCTGTACACTGGCTTCCATCATACATCATCCATCGAAATCATTTTCTTCACAATTTTGATTAGCTTTGGTGGACTTCCATAATAAAGTTGCCATTCTAACACTATAAAAAGCTTTTTCAAAGTCTATAAAACAAGAGTATATGTTGGCATTTCATTCTATTGCGTGCTCCACAATGTTTCTCAGAACGAATATCTGCTGTGTTGTGGCTTCTTCCCCTGCGAAAACCTGCTTGCTCACTTGTATAAACCTGCTTGCACAACTTTCTGGTTGCTTCATACAGATTTCATTTGGCCCACTTTAGCTGCATCTTATGCTTCCTTTGCTATATTATCAATTCCTTTTGTCTCGTTTTGTGGCTTATTTCACTTCACTTCATTTTTGTAGGTCATCTAATCATATTAGAAAGGAATTTTATTTAGCATTAGGAACCTCACCGAGAAACAATGTTGAATCTTCATCACTAATGAATAGTTTTCTTTCAGAGGGTTGAATTATAGGTTCAATTTTCTTTTTGGTGACATGGAACATAAATGAAAATGTGGGAAATACCTCATCAGCTTTAATTAGGAAATATGCAACTGATTTATGGCAATATAGAAAGGAAATGATGAATGTAATTTAAAGATAAGTATTACTGTTTTCATGCTGCCGATACAAAGGTTGAATAAACATTATTATTATTATTATTATTATTCACTGTCTTTTCTTGTGTATTTTGACTGCCACTTCTCTTGCAACCTTTGTGACTGTGCTTCTTCTTTCTTAAAAGGTTGTGGTAAATTGAAAATGCAGACTGAAGAGACTATAATATTCTTAGGAAAAGAAAATGAGCTACAGAATGGTGTAGCAATGATTATGGGGAAAGCAATGTAATGAATTTGTTTTGCGTATCTGTTGATCGACTTGTTTGGCTGATTACTAGCGAATGGCTGTGTTATGTCTGTCATCGTTTAGGCCCATGCGAGGTTCTGGACGGAACTCGACTCAGTGATTTGGAACTAATTACGATATAACCGTCGCTATCAGGACTACTATTTCTGACAGTTGGTATTCGCAGTTAGTAATATAGTGAACGATTAATCAAAAGATATGACGTGTTCAGTACTTAGTGTGATTGGCTGTATGATTGAAGGCCACGCCTTAGAGTCTTTTAACTTCTTTGTAATTGGTTAAGGTTTTGAAAGTGAATAAAGTTGTTTTAGTTGGTCTTGGCGAGTACACGAGGAGAGACACAGTCTTGGGAGAGTCTTGAGGCAGTCTAGGAGAGTTTTGGGGACTTTTCCCCAGGGCGCTGTGTCTTATAGAGTGCTCGACTGACCGACTAAAGACGAGAGTTGAAACGTATTTTGTTGTGTGCGTCTATTTGACTGTAAGGTTTAAGTGACTTTCCCGATCCCGCACCTCAAGGGGACGCGATAGAGAGATGAGACGATATTCCCCCCTGACACGTGTGGAGAACCCCAGAGGAGAAGATTAATGCCAAATTCAAAATATCTGTAAATGAAACGGGAGTATACAGAGGAGCAGATGCTGCAAGTGACCACAATCTTATTATGGCCAATTTTAGACTGAAATTGAAGACGGTCAGACAAATGAACAAAAGTGTGTTTAGATACAAAGTGAACATACTGAAAGTATCAGAAATCAAGCTGAAGTTTAAGATTGAAAGTAAATCAATGAAAGTGATGAGCAATTAGGAATACGAGTTAGAAACAGAGTGGGAAAATGTGAAGAGCTGATACAAGGAAGAAGAAGAGGTACAGTAATCCATGGATAAGCATAAAGAGCAGGACGCAAATTGAAGAAAGAAACAGTTTAAAGTTAAGTCTCATCAATTATTGGGATATAAAAGTGTCAACTCATGACTTTGCATGTTCCTCTGTCGGTAATAAACCTCATTTCAATGAAAACATTCCATCGTTCTGATCTCTAGTTTTCAGCTGAGCATCTTTCCTAAGCAAAAGTTAATTAGTCCATCTGTCATCAATATGTTCGATACACCCACTATTGTACATGTTCAATGGTCAAGTAGTTGAAACCACATGTTATTGAAAAAAGAAACTGACAGAAGATAGAAGCAGAAATCCCGAAAAATGTCATGAATAACAGGATTTGTATTTGACTAACAGGCATGAATTTGATTAACTTTTCCTAAATCAGTATGTAGTGACAAGGCATTGCACACATAATCCAAACAAACGATGCATTAAATTCATACGAAATCAAGGAAAGCTTAGAACATGATCACGAGACATGAAGTGTGAATAAGGAATACTGTATTCACTATTTTAAAAGCACCTCTCTAATTCACATAAAGCAAACATTTTCTTTATTGCATGCAAAATCACTGAAGTATGTCTTATTTTTACCACAGACTTGCTTTTGTCTGAAATATATTACAGTTATGCATATTAAAGAGGTCACATGAACCCATTTATAAAATGTGGGCAATTAAAATTCATGGGTTTCAACCCTGAAGTAATCAGATCAATTTTATCAATGTACCAAGTTTCATTGAATTTTGATGAATGGTACTCAAGATCGCTGTGAAACAAATTAGGTAATTAGTATGCTCACAATTTAACCTGAAATTAAAAATATATATGGCTTATTTTAGAGCACCTATGTACCCAATCTGATTAGAATCTGATGTAGTGTACGGGCTTTAATTATTTTGGCTATAAACTTATTTTAATTTTATTTTTTTATTATATTTGTTATTAATGCCTTTTTATTTTATTATTTTATTTTGATTTTGTGATTTTTTTTAAATTCCGCCCTACCTACATCTGATCCGACGCCTATGTAACGAGATTTCA